GACACCCACCCTTGGTGCTGCGCCCACCCAGCCCCTGTTTGGGGTGACCCTCTGAGACCAGGCCAGCTCATCACAGGCACGGCCGAGGATGTGGGCCCGGAGGGAGCAGCACGCTGTGCCCGGCGGCGGGCCAGCTCCACCCGCATCGAGCACCGGGTCTGCAGTGCACGGAGCTGCACAGACCCCTGTGCCAGTGGTCCTGCGACTCCACAGAGGGGCCTTTGCTGCCACTGGGGCCCCTCTGCTCTGAGCTGTTGCACAGCCAGCGTACCCCACTGCCGGACACCCTGCTGCCCCCCTGCCCTGGCCGTGCCCCTGCCCCAGGCAAAGTCCCCGTGCTGGGTTTTCGGGGGGAGAAGATGGTGTCAGCGTGGCCCTAAGAGCCTTATGGGATTAAAGGGTCCCATTTCCCACCCTGTCTGGTTTCTCATGGAAGTCACATGCTGTGCTTCCCTCCAATAGCCAGGGAAAGGGGAAAGGGAGAAAAATAAAGACCCAAAGGTCAGGCCCAGCGCAGAGGCTCTCCAGCAGGAGCCCAGGTCCAGCCTGGCACCCAAAAGCCAGCAGCACCCACTGGGTGCAAGCCCTGGCCCTGCCAAGCACTGCCAGGAGCCAGCCGGGTGCATGGGGCAGAGCCTGGCTTTGCCCTGGGCATCACCCCAGGCCCCCACCGGACAGCGCTGCTTTCTGCTTAACTGGTTTTCCTGGGTTTAGGCCAAATTTAGGGCTTGCCGCCTGGCTCAGGTCCCTGGTCACGCAGGCGGTAGGGATGCTGTGCTCCCACCTTGGTTTCTGCACCCACGTCTCGGTGCATGGCTGGGGCCAGGGGGCCAGTGCAGTCTCGTACAGCATCGAGCACAGGAGTGGGAACGTGTGGGCACTGGGCAGTCCTGGAAAATTAACCGGCAGCAACTGGGAGCTGGTGGGGCGTGCTGGGCCATGCCACGTGCCCGCATGAGCAGTGCCTTTGGGGCGCTGCCCTGCCCAGAATAACTCCAGGCCTGTGCCACCTTTTCCGGCTCTGCGGCTGATCCAATAAAGGGCATTACCAGTCCCTCCCCATCGGGCACTGGGACGCGCCCCAGCTCGGTGCCCCGGCAGCACCCACATCCCTGCGGCTCCCGGCCAAGCCCCCTCACCCCCAGTGCCTGCGGGGTGTCCTGGTTCAGCATGGGGTCCGGAGCTCTGGGGTAAAGCTCCGTCCCTCCTGGGTGCTACCTGGCGCCCTGCCGTGACATGGCACGAGCGTGCCAGGCCTCAGGCAGGCAGCTGCTGTGGTGCTCGGGGTGACATCGAGTGGGGGGTGATACAGGGCCGGGTCATGGGGTCTTGATGTACCCCACAGTGATCTTGCCACCGTGGGGGGGGGGATCCCAGCCCTCTGCCCCCGCCCCGCCGGGACACCCCGCACCTCGGGGGACTTTGCCCGCTGGAGAAGCGGGGAGGGCAGTAAACAGGCGCCGGCC